AGATGGAAACACAAAAATCTACATTCACCAGCAAAGGTAATATCTTTATTCTCTAAACCACACTCATATCTGCATCCTTTGAGTGCTGTTCCTTGGCTCTGGATCTCCTTCCTGCCTCATCTACACTAATTCTTTTCACTTTCTCCTTCAAAACCATACTTAAATTTACCTGCTCTAGGAAGCATTCTCACTGGAGTCTTGGTCCTGGGTTGAAAAGACTCCTGCTCAGAACTTATGGATGCAGGTGTTTCAAGGTTATTTGGATCTTGCAACCTGCTACTTTACAGTCTTCAGCTTATTTCACATGGGACTGCATGCCACCCTGATGATCACAGAAGCTTGCTGTAGGAAGGCAGGCCCCACCTTCCTGTTCCTATATTCCCCTCTGTCCTCTTAACACAGTCTCTGCACATAGCCTAGGGCATGCTGCTGAATGCTGTTGAACAGTCATTTTTCTGTCCTCAGGAATTCAGGTCAGAAACTCATGGCCTGTCCCTTGGGTACATCTGCAGCTCAGGAAAGTGAACCTGCCTATTGGCCTTGACTGAGCCCTTGACTCAGAAAGAGATGATTAGTCTGATTGTGCAATGTTTGGACTAAAGGAGCAATGCAACCTAAAGTAAGGGAGATATAAAATCAAAAATATTACAGGATGTGCACATGGGGCCTGGGATGATGGTTGTGATTTTGTTCCTTGGGCCGGTAGGAAACACTAACCAGATCAGGTTTACTACCAGTTACCATCACGTTAATCTTGGCTAACAGTGAAACAAAGCCACCAAGGATTTGGTAGATTTATCAGCTCCTCCCACAACAGCTATATGAGGCTGAGGCCATATGGAACCTGGGGAAGAAAGTCCTTTGGTGACGATGTGTCATGCTTTCTGGTCCATGCACTCCTCATAGACACCATATTCTGGGCCTGAAATGTTCTGCTGTTTTTGGAGAAATGAGAATCCAATCTCAGATGAGCTGGATTCAGAAAATAGGTCATCAATGTGAGTTGCAGTTATTTTGCTTCCCGCTTTCTCCTGTGGTTGCTTTAGATTGCTTTTCTGCAAATGACAGAAGCAGCTGCCCTGGCTGGTGGACAGTGGAGGGAGGTGACAACCACTCTAGCCTCAGGCCCTTGTCAGGTTCCTGGGTCCTCACCAATAGCATCTACCTTTGGCCTGGGCTGTTAAATTCCCATTAAAGGAGTGCAGAAACCCCCCCCCCC